TCGGCCGCCGACTATACGGACACACAGGAGAGGTGGCACGGGTGGCTGCCACAGGAAGATGGTTAACAGAGCAAATATCACTTCTACATTCTCACAGTATAACCTCTGTCTAACAGGTTATGAGCCCAATGGTTCATACTGTTGCCACGGACGAAGTCCAAGGCAAGCCGGAAGCAGAGCCTAGTCGCGAAAGGGCAGGCAGCCAGTACGGCGAAGATGATGAAGTCAAGAAGGCGGACGACGAACCGAAAGGGACGCAGGACAAGCTACTAGACCTACTCAAGGACCTCGCAGTGCGCATGGGACGCCTGGAGGAGTCGCAGGAGCGACAGGAGGAGAAAGAGCGCAAGGGTCGAGAGAGCAGCGTTTTCGGGTCGTCGCTGGGCCTGGGCAGAGCCATGGACAGGCAGGCTCTGGACCAGACGCCACCGCGGCGCACGTCGCCTGCCGTCTCGCCGGCCACGTACTTCGGGATGAAGCAACGTGAGTACCGAGATGCAGCAGCGAACGTCGAGATGGCTCAGGCGCCACAGCCGGCACTGCCGCAGCACTATGTGCCGCCGCAAGCGTATCGAGCGCCACCGCCATCGTCGCCAGGACCAGGACCAGGATTTGCTGGGGTACCTGACACCCGGCAGAGGAAGCTGGGGATCCGGCCGTTCGACGGAAAGGAGCTGTACCATGGGCTAGGGAGCGGTTTCCTGGCGTGGGGCAAGCGCTTTGTGCGCCAGATACAGTTCGCCGAGCGTGCTAGTAGGTTCCAGTGGGCCGAGGACGTCAAGGTTGACATCCTCGGTCACCATCTTAGCGGAATGGCCGAGAGGTACTACAACCAGCAGGTTGAAGGCTGGTGGGAAGAACAGCCAACGCTCGAGCATGCGATGCAGCGGATGCTGCACACCTTCGCCACGAAGATCACACCCGCGCAGAGCATGAAGATGTTCACGGCATTGAAGAGCTCCAAGAGAAGCTGGACAGAGCACTACCTATACCTCGTGGCAGTTAGCGAGGCGTGCGGCGGTGCGGACAACCTGGTCCTAGACAACATCGTGCACTACGCGGATCCAAACATGCGAGTGTCGATGCTGTCCAGGCTGAACATGGCACGCACGGAATACCTGCGCCAAGCGGAAGAGCTGGCGCACTTCGCCCAGTCGACGGAGATCGAGCTGCGAGGCAAGCAACTGGGGCGAGACGTGGTCAACGATGTGCACGAGGACGAGAAGGACGACCGCAAGTGCTACAAGTGTGGTAAATCTGGCCACTTGCGGGTGGCCTGTCCGAACAAGAAGAAGAGGTGGGGCGAAGGCACGGACGCTGACTTCGTGCTCACGGTCGAGGAGTCGGCCACAGAGACGGAGGACTGGATCCTGGACAGTGGATCCAGCCGTCATCTGGTGAATGATCCGGAGCTGCTGGAAGACGCGGAAGACTACGAAAGTTAATGCGTGGCAGCGGACGGAGGAGCGCTAAAAGTAACTAAGCACGGGAGCGTAATGCTCGTAGCCACGGCGATGGGGAAGATGACCAAAGGCGGCTGCTGAACGTGCAGTACGCGGAAAACTTGGAAAGGAACATCATATCGTACGGGTTGTTGGAGGCGAAGGGGTACGGACTCGCGTACCGAGGGAAGCACCGCGTGGTAGCCGGCATCAACGGCGGGCCGGCGGTGTTTGACGTCGAGAAGACAAACAACGTTCTCACCGTGCGTGCAATGGAGTCCAGAGGCACGGGGTGGAAGGGCAACGTGTTGATGTCGGTGTTGGTGGAAGGTGAGGCGGATGTCGGCAGGGACGTGCATACCGGGCCGCTCATGCATTTCCACGTTAGGTTAGAGCATCTGAACTACGACACGATCATTAAGATGGCCAAGGACCCGGCATCCGGGATTGCACTCACGGACGAGGTGAGGGCGAACTGCTTGGCTTGTGCCCAGGGCAAACAGACCAAGAAGAAGCGGTCGCGCAAGGACACCGGGGCTAACTCGCCCATTGACGTGATCGGAGGAGTCATCTGCTCCGACCTAAAGGGGCCGATGACTCCGAGAGATCGACTAGGGAACCGATACATGGTCAACTTTGTTGATCATCGCACCAACTACTGCAGGGTCTCCTCGGCAGAGACTAAGGACGTCGCGGCACAGAAGTTTAAGCATTTCATGGCGTACTTTGAGCGGCAGTTCAACTGCCGTATACACGTGTTGAGGACGGACGGTGGTGGGGAATACAAGACCCTGGATCTCTTCTGCAAGGATACCGGAATCAGGCGGCAGATTAGCGAGCCGCGAAACCAGGCTAGTAACGGCAAGGCGGAACGAATGCACCGCACCGTTATGAATATGGTGCGGAGCATGGTGTTCGCCTGTGGCCTTCCGCTTAGTTTCTGGGGATACGTTGCGGAATATGCAGCCTATATCCTAAACAGGAGCCCGACGAAGGCTAACCCGGGATCGAAGTCGCCACTGCAGATGCTCACGAAGAACACACCGGATTTGAGTGACATCGTGGTTTTCGGGTCGCCCTGTACGGTGAACGTGGACGCAAAAACCATTTCCCTGGGTGAGAGGGGCAAGGCGGGCATGATCGTGGGAAAGAGCGACGAGATTAAAGGCTACCGGGTGTATCTCCCGAAGGATAAGGTAGTCGTAGTGACGCAGCATGTGAGCAACGTCGAGACGTTGTCAGACGTGCAGAACGAACAATTGAAGCGCGTGCATCTGGAGGACTCCGAGGAGTCGGAGGGCACGGGCGCTTTGGAGACAGACACTTCGAGGACAAAGACGAAGGAAAAGGCGAAGCGTCGCGAAAAGAAATCTCGCTGGACGCGGGATAGGCATCAGACGCGCTCGGCTACGCGGAAGCCCGCTGAGGCGGTGGCGAGTGGAGGCGCTGATGAGGATCGGGTGGAACAGACCGCGGACGTGGTGAACAGCGTGCGGGAACCCGACCCGAAGAACTACCGACAGGCAAAGAGGAGCAAGCTCTGGAGGAAGTGGCTGGTTGCCATCGCAGAGGAGCTCAAAGCGCTGGAGGAGAACGGCGTGTGGGTCGTGGTGGTGCCACCGATCGGCAGCCACGTACTGCACACTAAGTGGGTATTCAAGATCAAGACTGATGCAGACGGAGCCATAGAAAGGTTCAAGGCCAGGCTCGTTGCGTGCGGCAACGAGCAGATCTTTGGCGTGGACTTCGGGCTCACGTTCGTGGTGGTCATGGAACTGAGCACGGTGAAGGTCATCCTGGTTTTTGCTCGTCGCTGGGGCGTGCCGGCGAGGCACGGGGACATCCCCAATGCGTACGTGAAGGCCGACAAGGAGCAGCATCTCGAGATCTACCTGGAGATCCCACAGGGAATGGTGATCGGAGATGAGGTAATGCGCAGGCTCGGAGTGAGCGTCAAAGGTAAGCTGGCGCTGCGCTTGAGGAAGTCGCTGTACGGCCTACGCCAAGCAGGCAGGCTGTGGAGTCAGCTCCTGCACGCGAAGCTGGAGGAGGCGGGGTTCACACGGTGCGTGACGGACATGTGCCTATACTACAAGCGAGAGGACGGCGAGATGACGCTCGTGGGCGTGTACGTGGATGGTCTCCTGGTCACCGCGTCCAAGCCGAGTCTGGTGGACGATTTCTTCTGCTCCATGAGCGTGTTGTCCGTGAAAGACTTGGGCGAGGTGAGAAAATTCTAAGGGATGCGCGTGGAGCTGGACAGCAGCGAGGGGTACTCGCTGGACCAGCAGGCGATGATCGAGGAGCTGCTGGAGCAGCATGGGCTGGCAAACGCGAACAGTGTGCGGGTTCCTGTTGGTGAGGAGCACAACAAAGCGGAGGTAGACGAGCCGCAGTTGTTGACCAAGGTGGGTGCGCCGGGTGAGCCAACGATCCGCCGTTTCCAGTCGCTCGTGGGAAGTTTGCTTTGGATAGCACGGTGCACGAGACCCGACATTAGTTTCGCTGTGCATAAGGCCACGAGGAGGACACACCAGCCGACCACGAGTGACTGGAAGCTGGCCAAGAGGGTCGCAAGGTACTTGAAGGGGACGAAGAGCGTCAAGCTGATCATGCAGGCGCCGACGAGGAAGGACGACGTGATGGCTTTGGAGAGCTGGAGCGACGCAGACTTCGCCGCCGACAAGAGCGACAGGAAGTCGGTGACTGGAGGAGTCGTGACGATGGACGGGGCTGTGGTGCAGTGGATCTGCAAGAAGCAGACCGGCGTGTCGCTCTATACGATGGAGGCCGAGTTCACGTCAGCGTCGCAGGTGGGGCGCGAGCTGCTGGGACTTCGGGAGCTGGTGCGTGAGCTGGGTTTCCGGGTAGTGGAGCCAGTGCCCATGAGGATGGACAACCAGGCGGCGATTAAGGAGCTAGAACTCGAGGAGAGCATGGCGAGTGCGAAGCACGTGGACATACGCGTGAAGTTCATCTGTGATTTTGCAAGGAAAGGGATAGTGAAGCCCGAGTACGTGGAGTCACGCCTGATGATGGCGGATCTTCTTACGAAGGCGTTACCGGCGCCGAGGATCGCGGAACTGCGGGAGATCTTCAAGCTGAAGTGACGAGTTCTGCCGAGAGTGCGACGACCGAGGAGGAGTGTTGGATTTGGACCGTGCGGCTGGAGCAGCTGCGGTTCAAGGCGGTAGAAAAGACCGGTTCGGCCGCCGACTATACGGACACACAGGAGAGGTGGCACGGGTGGCTGTCACAGGAAGATGGTTAACAGAGCAAATATCACTTCTACATTCTCACAGTATAACCTCTGTCTAACAGCGCAGCGGATGCAGAGTAACTACCGCACTCCAAGTCGCTCGGATACTCGCTGTGGCCATCGTCTACGTGAGCAGACACCGGTACCAAACCGCCAAGGTCATCACCGTTCGCGGTATACTTATCATGTGCCGACAGTAGCGGCGTCCCCTTCGTATCCTGGTGCGGTTCCTTCTTTGACGATACATTAAACTCGTTTTCCGAGCCTCAAGACATCATTGGACTCACATTTTCGATTGTTTAGTCGTTCAAGACGCGAACTATTCGTTTGCGTTGCAGTTTCTCCTCCTCACGACGCTGCAAACGCTGTTCTGGTGTATCGAACACCCACATGGTTTCTCCATCCGAAGTTTGGTGCGTTGTGAGCGGAGATCTTGCGCTCCGTTCATCTTGTAAACCAGGTTCTTCCCTTCGACTCCTTTGCTTCTCTTGACGACGGTGTTTCATGACAGAGCGGGTAAGTGCATGGAATACATCGGAGATGTTCGAGTCGTAGTGTTTCTCGAACGTATCCAGCTTAATCCTGCTGTTCAACTCCAAGATTTTCTTCTCGCGAGTAATGCAAAGTTGAATGTTAGACTCATACGATTCATCCCAAGTTTCTGCGGAGCTGTCTTCTGTGTTCTCTACGTCCGAAGAACGCGGCTGGTTCGTTGACCCTCGACGTGATAGTAAAATCGAAAAATTGTGGCGAATTCGACCACGACGCAAAGTTTCTTGTTTCTTTTTCTCTTGATATGCACCGAGTCTCTCGACTTTTTCCATGTGTTTCTCTGCCCGCTCGACGATGACACTTCAGCGTTCACGTAGCTGATCAGCGATGTATGGTGCAAACTGCGGGTTGAAATTGTTTTGCTTGGCCATGAGACCGTCAAGCACTCGAATCAGTTCCCACTTTGGCCCTACTCGCTCTACAGCTAGAACAAGTAATTCATCGTTAAAGCAATCGCAATGCACGATACGCTCCGTGCAAAGAGGGCACAGATCCTTCCAGCCCCACGTCTGAAGGATGAGATACCACGCAAAATCCAGAGCGACCCCCATGAGCGACATTCTCAAAATTGCAGATAGCACACCATAGTAGATAAATTTCGTGAGAAAGAGACAGCTCCGTTTGGCCCAGATGTAGAAAATCGGAGCTTGTGCCAGTGTGAGAAGAAGCACCACCAGCACTTGCAACAGGAATGCCAATCGAAATGAAAACCCCGTCAGGTCTCCACCCGCTGCCTTGGCGCGGAAATATTTGCGTCGCTGTCGAAATATCAGTTTAAACAGTTCTTTGAATATTGCCTTCCCAGCCGATGGTAAAATTGACGTTAGAACAGCGTACATTACCACCGACGTCAAAATCGTGATACTTGACCCATACGAATCGCGCAACATGACGATGATAAACAACACGTAAAACGTCACATACAGTGATCACACCACAATGAGCGCCCTTTCGCCACGCGACAGTCGCTCGTTTCGGTATGGACAAAAGACCCACGTAAAGTAATTCTCGTGTCGCCACCAGGTGTAGAAAGGCTCAAATGGCCGACGAAACTTTTTCCAGCAACACGGTCCACATAATCGAGTTTTGGGTACCTTGCGGTCCCAGGGCATGGGTTGCCAGTAGTCCACTTCGTTCTCCGGAACGTCGAGCTCACGTGAATAAACACGCTCGATGTTTTTCTGAAAGTGGCTACGTACACAGTAATTAAAAGGGGCACTTTTAGCCTAGAGTGGGACTCGTACAGTGGGCCGGTGTATCCCCTATCCGCGCAGATGGGCCAGGGCCCCGTCTGACTGTGAAAACCAGTGGCTGTGTCGGATCCCCCCATTTGCTCCATTTTCCTCCCTAGCGATGTCGCGCCGAACAACCCACCGCCGCGCCCGCAGGCTCCCAGAAAGCTCCGAGGACAGCGAAGACACCTCGGCACGCAGTGAGACCTCAGGATACGACTCGTCAGCCAGTGAGCGAGATGAGGATGACTCGGGAAGTTCGGAGGATGCTTCGTCACGTGCGTCAAAGAAGCGGAAGAAGCGAAGGTCCCGTCCGCGGAAACACAGGAACAAGAGACAAAAGAAGAGGTATTCGCGGCGCAAGTCAAGACGATCGAGACGGCACTCTTTATATATGGCTTCAGACGTAGAATCTGAAGTTACTGCTGAGAAATCGGAATCTGCTGCCTCCGTCAGCACGCATCTTGGCGAGGACAACTCGCCAGACGTCCCTTCCCAAGAAAGTGTACGGGCTCCCGAGCTGGACGTTAAACTATTTGCGAGTTGGGGAGAGCTGGAAAGCTATTTGAGCAGCTACAGCAGACGAACGTACCAGGTTTGTCATATTTACATATCAGACAGCGCCACAGGCTCAGAATTTGAGCCAATTCGAGAGTATAACTAACGTCTTTTCGTACTGTGTAGCTGTACTCCGTGCGTACTGCGACTCCGGTTAAGACGCGGAACGACAGGATCAAAAAGAACCAAACATCGTGCAAAAGGATTCCCGAGGAATGGGAATTATACAACAAAACGTTCGTGTGTACACACCACGGCAGTCCACGGCGCAGCAGAAGTGCTGGAAAGCGTCCCAAGCAGCACTCGAGGAAGATTGGTTGTCCAGCTCAGGTGGCATTTGTTCTGTTTCATGCCGACGCCGAGGATTGTAACTCTGAAACGGTGCTTGTGGTGCCTAGATTAATGCCTGTGTTAGGGATACAGGAGACTGGGAAATTTTTATTACGAAGCAGATCACTTCGCATAACCATGATCTCAGCCCAGAGTCGTACGAGGCGTACCACGAGGCTCGACAAGTCTCTGACGAAGAAGTACTGTCAACTGTGCGTACACTCCATCGAGCCGGGGCTGATAGAAAGAGGATCCTCGAATACATTACTGAGAATACTACCGTTGAACCGACGATGAAAGACGTCCACAACCTGGTTGCTAAGCTGAAGCGAGAGTCTCACAATCTGCCATCTCTGGAGGGGCGTATTAAATCCATTTTTGAGGATTTTTCTACCAAGCCCGGGAATGTCGCTCGGGTCTTTTCAAACGAGGAGGTGAGAATGAGGTTAAATTTCTAATTACGCTTAGCTGTTAATGGTTTGGGATCTGTGTCTTTGCAGGAAATAGTCGAGTGCATATGCATTAAGTCCGCACACATGCGGCAAATGTTTGGACACTTTCCGGAGGTGCTGATGATAGACGCCACACACGACACCAACTCATCAAACTATAAGTTGTTCAGTTTTATGATTCACGACGCTATGGGGAAGGGATAACATGTTCAGGTACAAAATCAAACGAATTCTCTATAATTGCGACCCAGTCTTAAACTGTGCACAGTTTTGAATTATTCACTGATACTTTTAATTGCCTATACACAGCACAGCTTACTGCAAAACGAGAGAAAGGAAACGTTGCGATTGGCGTGTGTTCAGTTCAAGGAGACATGTCCGTCATATGATTCGCTAGCTGTCATTATCGTGGATAAGGACTTCACAGAGCTGGCTGTTCTGGAAGAGGAGTTTCCTGGCGTTCGTATTCTGCTGTGCCACTTTCACGTTGTTAAGTATATACAAGAGGAGGTCGCCAAAGACAAGTACAACCTGGACGCGTACACGAAAAAGGAAATGAAACGATTGATACAGCTGCTGGTTAGTACACGGTCGGAAAGGAACTACGACGATGTGATCTTAACGATGAAAGTAGTATTGCGATCTGAAGCTAAAGTGCGTCTAAGGTTCGACTATTTCGATCGGAATTGGACGAACTGCAAGAATCAGTGGAGCTCTATCTATCGTGGGAACGTCCCGCACATGGGAATTCGTACCAACAATCGACTTGAGTCCAGCTGGCAGAAGCTGAAAGCACTTCGTCTCTGTCTTGTTTTGGCAAACTGTGAAGGAGAAAATGTGGCTGCGGGTTGTTAACAAAATTGGCGTGAACATGAATGCGCAATACGATGCAGAGATGAATGCTTTGTCAAACACTGTTTCGGATCACGCTGTACAACTGATTAAGCAACAGTACGACTTTGCTCTTCTATCCGCGACTAAATATCGCTATTATCCCATGGGCCCCTACATCATGATGCAGTACGCTGCTGATACTGAGGAGGACATTCAGGAAGAGTACATGATGAATCCACACGCGTGGACTTGCTCGTGTATTTTTCGCGTGACGAGGCTTCTTCCGTGTCGCCATATCATATACTATCGAAAGACAATTGGCTGCACCGATATCGTTCCTGAAAGCATTCTTCATCCGCGTTGGGTGGTTAAAAACTACAAACAGCTGAGAAAAGAAACGGCTGAACCGGTGGAGCTCCCTTACGAAGACAGAAAAATACCCAACCCATCGTGTGGACGTGCCAAGTCGCAGAACGAAAAGTTCAACGAGCTGCTACATATAGGCAAGCAGGTTGCTGACGTTGGAGCTACTTGGGGCACCACAGCGCACGAAAAATTGAAGCAGGAATTGCTGAAGGTTTTTGATGCTGTTCGGATCGGCCAGTGTCCTCGTGTGACGTCAACCAGCCACCATCATGATAATACTGAGTTGGTGTCCATCGAAGATAATAGTTTTGATTCGACACCTGGATCACAGTTTGAAAACGTAGTACAGTCTGAGACTGTACTCGGCCACATCAACATGTTTGAAGCCACTACTCGCGATTTGTCAAACCAAGACATCGAATTGCAGCAGCGCGAAGAGGAGGACGTCGTGTGCGTAGACCTGAACGAGCGCGCTGAATCCCGGCGTGATGAAGAATCTCATTCCGAATCTCGGAGTGCTACACAGTCGGATACACGTGCACAACCCAAGACCGTACAATCCTCTACACAGGCGGTTACGTCTACAAGTGAGCACGCTGAGGCTCCGTTGGATCCCGAAGAACCTTAGCCGCCTCCAGCCCCTTGGATGATTGCACCTTCCAAGAAAAGAGCAGGACAAGCTAAATCTGCCATAAAAGCTCGCAAGGAAGCCAGCAGAGAATGTCTCAATCAGACGTCCATGTTGGTCGAAGCAGTGGCGGGTGGACTATTACCTTCAATGGCCAAAGTGCAGGCCGCCCAAGACACAGGTTTTCGTTTCAAAGATCGCAAAGTTCTGAGGGGAATGACGGTGCTACGTCAGACACGCTCCAGTAAAATTTTAGTCGCTGAGGGGAGGAAAATGCCGTGCACAGATGCCACTACCATTCGATCTGTCCTCCCAACAAAAAGAATCGAGTCATGCCAAGCCCAGATTGCTATTTTCCAGAATAGGTGGTTCAGTGATTTTGATCAAAGAATCCCTGCAGATGCCGTTTCAGTTAAAACGGGCGGAGTCATATACGACTCTCAAATGCTGAAGGCAATGAACTCGTGGCACTTAGCAGCTCAACGATTCAACGAGGTCCGAGAGACCATTAAGAGGATGCACGTAGACTTGACGGGGTGGAATCCCGATGATAGCTGGAGGAACGGTTTACTTTTGCCCGATGAATTGGAGAATCGTCTAGAGGATATCGACGTTTTTGGCGACTATTTTTGGGTGACCACTCTACGCGGTCACTGTTTAGTAGAACTATCGTGTATGGACCTGGCTCTAAAGTCGCTGGTTAAACGCTATGGTGGAGACCATGACATTTTTGCTGTTCCGTCCTACTTGATAAGATAACCTGAGTTTGATCGAGAGGAAGTATCCCAATCAGAAGTTTGGCACCAGATTCGAGCTGCAGCGGATCAGAAAAAGCTGTGGAGTGATGACGCTCGTAGTACTGTATACGACGATCGAGGAAACCATTATGGCTATTTGCCGTGATCCTGTACCGAAATGAACACTGGTGTGCAGTAGCGGTAAATTTCAACGACCTCACGATCACTGTGCTTGACTCGCAACGCACTGGAGACAGATACGAGGCCCTTCGAAAGTATCTGTATGCCGACTTGGTGCCGCTGTTACCACAGCCCCCGTCCCCAAAGCGGTACAGGTTCAAGCAACTCGAATGGATGACGCAGGTCGATTCCTACAACTGTGGCGTCTTCGTGATCATGTTTTTCGAGATGCTTCTGCTAGACGTCGCTGTAGTGGGGTCCGAATCGGCGTCAGAATCTACCATAGCGATGCAGTACTTCCGATACCGTTTCATTAGCCATATATTAAGCTCAATGTAAGCTCAGGTTCCACATTTCATTAGCCATATATTAAGCTCAATGTAAGCTCAGGTTCCACATTTGTGTAATTGCTGCTAAGTCTGACTAATGTGATTTTAAGTTGGCCGTGTACGTACTTCGTGAAAATCACCGCGTTGGAGATCTGTGTTGTATTTGCCTAAGTCTTTGCCAATTTGACGAGATCGAGTTTTTTAGGCACGGGCTCGCGCCTTTCTGGTCGTGCCGTACGCTCTATTGCACTGTCCTCGTCGTCTATGAAGAGAAACGTGAGTGCCGGCTGGCAAAGAGCTTCGTCTCTGGAGTGAATTCTGACGTTCACATGGTTGTGCTATCCAACACATGGTGAGGCTATCCACCACAAAGGACACCGGACTGTGTAAGACTGTGCGTGATTCTGTAAGACTGCACAAAATGCTGACTCATCGCCTCCAGACTGTGTACGTAGGCTCTCTCATGTTTTTCTTCCAGTTTTCGCAATGACGAATCATTTGGAAAACGCGAAGTCCAAATAGCGTAATCACTAAATATGGTAAAAAGAGAAGAAGGTAGGCCCCACCGAGCCATCCGGACGAGCTGCAAGCTACAGGCATCGGATTTACCGACATGTTTGTGATGTTGAAATGTCCCCACACTGCCCTGCTCTTCATCTTTTTCTTCTGATCGAGATCGTAGATTTTCTCACTCGAGCTCACACTGGTAGGTAATTGCCTAGTATTGCAATAATCGACCGTCGGATTTCGCTCCAAAAAGCATGGCTGCACGACGAAGTACATTGTTTCTTTGATGGTGTTGTCAATGTACGTGTTGGGCAAGTATGCGTACGTTGTTCGTATCTTGGAGCCAGCAGAAATATACTCGAATGGCTCTCCGTCAACGTAGTGCTCGTATTCATACTCATTAAGTAATAGAGCATTGAAATACGAAGAGTTCGCATTTGTACTAGTGGCTGGATTCGGAGTTTCGACGGTGTACGTAAGGTGAAAGTCGACTTCTTCGAGGAAATGGAGGAACGTGAAGTCTTCGGTACCTCGGACGTTCTTTACCGTGAATGCATCCAAGTGCAGCACCTCGTTGAGCTCCAAGGAAGAGAGTGAGATACCCAACCAAAGTAACACACCGACACCGATAAGCAGCCACGCCCAGAACTGCGTACACCCGCGACGTTTGCTGTATCTTGTGCCAATGTACTTTGTCCAAAAACGTGAATGCTCCCGAACACTTGACCTCTCTTGATTGTATGTCGAGTCTGGGGCATTGGAGCGATTTCCTCTAGCATTTAATATTCCATCCGCTATCCCCCCCGGTTCGACCTGGATGTTCGGCTCGTGATCGACCGATTTGCAATAACCAATATACGCTTCCAGCAATTCGGTATCCAAGGCCCTGTCATCGACGTCACTGTATCCATCGTACACTTTGTCACCTCTGTCTTCTGATGTCCTGGATCCAGGCGCCGCCTCATCCCCCGACGGTCTCAATTGAGAATACAGCGGCGTCTTGATGTTGTCGACGCTGCCCCTTCCGGTAGAAGATCGTCTGCGGAAAGTTTCGAGTGTCACCGGCTGGTCCGTATCGACTAGTATGGCCAAGTCCTCAAGCAGCGTGCAGTTCTCCTTCGATGAAATTGGCCCCGACGCTGCCCTCTGCCCTGTGTTGTCGCTACTAAGGGCGTCTGCCTCGGCATGTATATATCCGCGTTTTGGCTGCCCTCTGTCGCTCATCGTACCATTTGCCAGAGTGCTCCGACTGAGTACAAGGTCATCAAAATCAACATTCTCCGGGCTTGTACTCGACAGCATTTGCACTAGGCGCTACGTTCTCCATGTACAATAGGTGAATGATACCTCCTGTAATGCAAGGACGATATCGCCCGAAACGTCTCAAGGGAACATGATTATTGTGACACTCGAACGAGCCGTCTCAGTAATATCCATGGATAGTATCCAGGATACCGGTATTGTGAAATTTTGTGAAATGACAGCATCAATTGCCAAGGTACCGCTCCGGTAGTACAGTAATCCCAGCTCTTGCATGGAACAAGATTAAAATATCGGTTCCCGATTACTTATAAGCCAATGTAAAAAAAACTCTCATTCCCACCCTCGAATTATGAAGTACCTAAGTACAAATTTTAGAAAGAATGACTACTTTGAGGTGCTTATTAATAACTAAAGGAAAGTCACAATTGTGCAGCACATAGGCGAGCAAAGCTTGCACCCTTTCATTCGCACGCATAGTAATCGAGCACTTAACAAATACTACGTAGTACTACTGAGGGTGGCATGCGCTTGGTAAATGTACCATTTCGATGGTACACCTGCCTTAGCCACACCACAACAAAATTTACCCATTTCCCGCCACCTAACCTTGCAGCGTGTCTGTCCGTCCGTCTGTCAATAAGTCCGTCCGGTTCCTTTCTTGCTGCTTTTTCCTGCCTTTTCGCATGGCTACACTCGGCCTTTCCAATAGAGTTTTTTCCATCGTACCGACCGCGCCTATCTTTCTGACTCGACCTCACTATGCCAAAATTACAATTATATCCAAAAGCGTGACACAATTAACTCGCGCCCTGATTGGGCAATATTTTTCGACTCACTTTTCATTCAAAACACAAAATCGGATTTTTGAGCGACGGCGCGGAGAGGACAAGGTGCGCTGGCTGTATAATAGCAGTAGGGTAGTTTTAGATGTATATGCATGTATGTACGGGCGTGGGGCTCCTTGCCCTACTATATATTCAAGAGAGACCTCTCAGGATACAGTCTGAGGCTTGCCCCGAGACTCCAAAGTGGTATGGCAGTTGGTAGCGATAGCAATCAGGTTGGGGTGGGTGTGACTGGGAGCGTCTACCACCATGCACGCGCCTAGGGGTCCTAGACCCACCGCGAGTGTCCACGCTCCAAAAGCGAGTGGCGCGTGCTGCCAATTGGCCAAACCGAAGTTGCAGCCACATGCGGAAGAATCGTTACAGTCCCGCAATACAGAGGTGCTCTTAAAGTGTGAGCTCCCACATCAAAACACACTTTGCGAGAGCACTTCTGGCGGGACGGAAAGGAATGCAGCAGTCGGTCTCACAAGAGCAAGGAGCCCAAGACCAAGTGCAAGGACAGCTCAAGAACAAGAGATCAAGACAAAAAAACACTTTAAGAGCATGAGTGATTCCCGCGCCTGTACACTTAGATAGCATAGCGTCATAATAGACAGTTTTAGAGCATTTTCGGAACTGTGTGAGCCCCGTGAGGGGCTGGGTCGTTCTCGGACACCCTGTGCATACTACGGATATGACCTGAAGGGCTGGACGGTATCGAACAGACCTGGGCAACCACTCAACAGGGATGAGGCAACAGCTTTGACGTACCCAAGAGGCAACAGCGCGATGCGGCGTCTGAATTAGCATGTACAGCTGCTTGGTCCACAGCGGTGCAAGGTAATTTGGGCCCGCGGAACGTGAGCTGAGGGCTGTAACACGTCGGCCAAGGGGAGGGCCTAAGCAAAAGCTGACTGGACCAACAAGCCCCCTAGAGTGACGATACCCCTAAGTTGTTTGTAATCCGAGGAGCCGGGATGGAAATGACAGTGGTGTGTTCTATTCACAGAGGGCTTCTGGATTAGTACTGGAAAGGAAAGTTCGGGGTTCTATTCGAATACCACGTTGCTTAAGCTGCTGTGTCCATGTTCTGGTGCTTATATTCATGAAATAGCTGTAAAGTAGCTCCCAGTGCACTTAGACTTTCGAGTCTAACAGCCAATGTGATTTTGTTCTGTCTAAATCAGGCGACAGTCCAGCTCAAGATACGAGGCCATGGCAAGAGCCCCGAGGAAAAGGAAAAGGTTTCCCAACAACTGAGTAGCGGGCTTTGCTGTACAATTAACTCGACTAACTCTGTTCAATGATTAGAATTACCCGCGAGGAACTAGATGATCGCGTACAACGAGCCCGGCGTGAGAACGCATCCCAATCCCACGAAGAGTGAAAGACATCTCCGTAAACAGAGGCTTCGTAGCGCAGAGGCCCGCTACCGCAAGGCAATCCAAGAATTGGAGCAGCTCGAGTTAGTTAAAACCCCAGCACCAACTGAATCCGGACAGATGAGAGCTTCTGGTCCGGCGGTAGAGCGTGAGGAGAAAACGGAAGAAGACGATCCTGCGGAGTATCAACGACGATTCGAGGAGGAGACGCGTCGCGACAGGCAACACGATACCCACGACTTTCAGATTGGAATGTCAGGACCTACGGTCGACGATAGCGCAGCAGCTACACGTGCGCGTGATGCAGAAAGAGCCCGCGTCAGGCGAGCTGCTATGACGAGCTCACAAAAACAACGGGCACGAGAGAAAGACGCGGAGAGAAAGCGCATACGCAGAGCTAACAGATCCGAATCCCAGGCTATTCGAGACCGCGGCCGAAATGCCGAACAAGCGAGGGTCCGACGGATTCGACTGGAGCCAGAAGACCTCTCGGTTCATCGAGCATATAGCCGCGACGCGCAAGCCAACCACAGAGCCACAAGACCAGAGGAGGCCAGTCAAAATGCAAGGATTCGCGATGCAGTGGAGCACGAAGCTCGCCGGGAAGGCATGTCAGATGAGCAGCGTCAATCTGAGCGCGATCAAAATACGGCTTCACGGAGAGACCACAGAGGGGGCATGGCGTATGAGCAGCGCCAATCTGAGCGCGATCAAAATACGGCTTCACGGAGAGACCACAGAGGGGACATGACGTATGAGCAGCGTCAAGCAGAGCGTGATCGGGACGCAGCCGCGCACAGAGCTCGAAGAGAAGCCATGACGGAAGAACAAAGGGATCAGCGAAAAGAGCACGAGCGGTTCCGCCGGCGGTCTCGGCAGTATAAGAAGGGCCTCGCACACCACGAAAGTTTTGACCCTTCCAGCGTTTCCGGGGGGCGCCACTACTTCACGCGTTACACTGACGACAACGGGGAGAACGAGCGAGTTTGTCACTACTGCAACACTTGGAAGTTTCCGCAAGAGACAGACGGATGCTGTTGTCGTAACGGACTGGTGTTCGTTCCGACTTCGCGAACAGCCCCTGATGCGCTTCTAACACTTTTCGAAAACCCGACTTTCATGCGGTCAATCCGGGCCTACAACAACGTATTCGCTTTTACGTCCATGGGAGCTTCGCGGTCTCGGCCTCTAAGCGTTGACGAAAGCGTGACACGGAATGGTGTCTACAACTTCCGTGTACAAGGGTCAGTGTGTCATCGCATGGGATCGTTACTACCTCCTACCTTCGGTCGCTCCATGTATGCCCAAGTTTACTTTAACGATCCAGACATGGATGCACGTGTGCGAAGCCGTATGAACATGACGCAAGGCCTCGATCGCGCCGTTATGGAAACAATTGACCAGATGATGGTGGCGCACAACCCGTATACACAAGAATTTATCAACGCGCGTAGATTTTTGATAGATCGTGGTTGGGATGCGTATGCAGCAGCCATCAGGGAGCACGAACGACGCCGCTCGGCAGGGGAATACGTTGATGACCATGACCCGTCGTTAGCCTTGAGTAATTTTCTTCCGGAGGGGGATCACCTTAAGCTGCGTCTGCACGTGACACGGAATGCGAATCCGGGTACGCATAACACCCCAACGGCATCGGAGGTGGCAGCCGTTGTGATCGATACAAACGCGGCTGAACATCGGGATATAATCCTACACACGACAGGAGGAGGTTTCAAGCGCATCTTTGAGACGAGCGTTACCTACGACCCGCTGCAGTACCCTCTACTGTTTCCGTACGGGGATAATGGCTGGACTTACGATATCCCCTACGTTGGTAATCCCGTCGATCGCCACGGTGACCCCTTAACCATGTCCGTTCGGGAATATGAGGCGTATCTGCTTTACGACCGGACGGTTAGTAATTCGCTTATCCTGCGCGGTGGGCGACTGACGCAGCAATACTGCGTTGACCAATGGGCCAAATGCGAACAAGAGCGCCTGCGCTTCATCAAGAAGAACCAGCTCCAGTATCGATTGGAAACCCTCCAGGGACTCACGGACGCGTTGCGTGGCGAGTCTGTTGAAATCCACAGAATGGCAGCTGACGACGAGGCGGCCATACGTAGGACTCGGCGTGGGAATTATACGGAGCAGGAGTCGGCGGAGCCAGATGCGGGTGAGGTTGGACGCAAGATAATTATACCTCCGAAGTTTACAGGTGGTCCCCGCTACATGTACCAACGCTTCTTGGATGCCATGGCTATCGTCCGTGAAACAGGAGCCCCGAACCTGTTCATTACGATGACATGCAACCCGAACTGGCCTGAGATCAAGGAAAACTTACGCCGTGGGGAAAAGGCATCCGACCGACCGGACATCGTGGCCCGCGTGTTCATGGAGAAACTAAAAGCTCTTAACAAGGATCTCGATGAGGGTGTGCTGGGGATTCAAGCCGCTCGAGTCCATGTAGTGGAATATCAGAAGCGTGGTCTTCCCCACGCCCACATACTCCTTATCCTGCGTCCGGAGGACAAGCCCACTACCAAGGAAGACGTCGATAAGCTGGTGTCCTCGGAGCTCCCGGATAAAGAGAAGTACCCCGAGCTGTACGATACGGTGATTTCTAATATGCTGCATGGACCCTGTGGTCAACAGAACCCGAGCTGCCCGTGTATAAAGAACGGAAGGTGTTCCAAGAAGTTCCCAAAGGCGCTCGCGGACGAAACGGTGATGACCCCCGACAAATACCCCACGTATAAGCGTGGTCGCCGTCCGGATGGAATTCTGTGCCATAAGGGGAAAGTATGGGACAACGCGACCATCAATCAATGGGTGGTCCCCTACAATCCGTT